CACATACAAATGCTGTTTGATTAGGTAGAGGCTGATGTCAGTCTCTGGGACAATGGAAGACAAGGGACACTCCCATCTGTCGCCCACCCGGCACTGCCACCTAAAACACCCTGAACTAAAAATCCCACTTCACTGTTTTCTCCAGTGATTCATTCATCAATAGCTTGATGTATTCCCTTTCCCTGATTAAAAGTTAACTCCACACAAAGATGAGAAAAGAAAGATGAAAACAAAACTTAGACCATGAGGACTAGGGAAAAAGTAATAAAGATTGTGGCCCAATCCCACTGGCAAATCCCCTCGAAGCTCTCAGGCCAGTGCACCTAGCAAAGGGGCTCCTGCACCCTTTACACACTAGCCCCTCAAAGCTCCAGGAGTGGACTGAACCCAGGCCTTGGTAAGTGTTTGTGACTGATCCCGAATCTGCCCTGTTTCCAGGAGAGAGCACTCATCTCCCTGTTTCAGTGAACGGTAAGTCTGAAACATCTCCTTCCTTGCAGGCAGGACATCGCATTGCCGCCCATATCCCTAATGATACACTGTCAACTGACAAGCCCAGAGCACCTTCCAAGCTTGCCCCAGGACTACGTCACAGCATCAGCTTCCCCGACTCCCAGGAATACACTGAACCTGGTGAAACAGGTGAAACATTGTTTCAGACCCAGGTGAAACAATGGGCGACCTGTCCATGGCAGGCTCTCCAACTGTGGGGTCTTCCTTGTCTACCTTTCACCTCCACTCAGGGGACAGGGCTCAGTGAGGGGCCTCCACCAGGTTCTCAGTCACAGCAGCCAGGAGCATGGGCCTGGCCTCTCCCTCCAGACTTCGCAGTCTCATGGAAAGGCCAGGTACTAATACGAAGCACACACAGGTTTACATTTGTGAGGAGGAAGAGGACAGTAAGAGAGTATGTACATTTACATACAAGCACACACAGGGAATCTTCCTCAGGGGAAAGGTGCATCCTATTCACTAAGCAAGAAAACATTTCCTCTTCCCCTTCCTTTCAAAGGCCTCAATCTGCAGGACGGAAGCAGCAAAAATGAAAGGGGCAAAAACGAAAACCAATTTAACTGTCTTCTCTTTCTGAAAACTCTGCCTATTAAAAGCACAAACAGTCGGCAGGATGGTTTCATTTCCTTGTCTTCATTAAATCAGGAAGCTGAGATTCAGCAGAGATTCTGGCCCCAGAAGTAGCTTATCGGAAATGACCATGAGTTATCACCCCAGTGTCCTCCACGTGTTTTCTGGTAAGTAGTTTCTTTACTTAACTGAGAAGGTTGTTCCAACAGTTCTTAAAAAGTGTCCAAATTCCCAAGCCTACCTCATACCACATTTTCATAATTATAGAGGTGATAGCAACCTTGGTGAGAACTGTCAAGATGATTTTGATGGGGTTATTTGCTAATTTTGCCTCTTCTGTGAATAAAGATACCCAGTAGGCTCACTAATATGAACCCCCGTCCAACCCTAAATGTGTCCACAACCCCACAAACCTTCACACTGATCATTAAAATGAGAACCACCCAGACATTCACTGGTGGCGGTGAAGTTAACCGAATAAAACATTGCTCCTATGCTCTGTATTCTTAGAGCTTTGCTCGAGTTTCACCAGTGGGTGGTATGGGGTCTGCTGGAAGCCCAGTGTGACCCACTCACTGTGAGATACTCCCAACCTAGATGCACTATTCTGAAGCCCCAACGGATTGCCTACATTTGATTAGGAAAGAGAAACGCCACACACACAAAGCAAGAGTTGCACACGTGCACATGTACACACATACACACACACAAACACTAATCTTTAGACTGCCACCACCATGACACGGGTACTACCTTGTGTCTTTTAGCCTTAGGAGGACTGCAAGCTTGTACAGTGTTGGAGCCATCTCTGTTCTTTCCAGAGAGAAATGACCTAAAGGAGTAACCTAACCTGAACCACAGAGCCCCACACAGGCATTCAATATCCTTCCAGAGCATTTCGCTAGCTTTTGAGACCAGAGTGGGGTGCATGGAGAGCACTGCCTCGCTGAGCCCACCTGCAAGAATTCGGACATCCACAGAGAGCAGATACTGCCCTGGAGAGGCAGTGCCTCCAGCCTCGAAGTACCCATCTGTTGGCTTAACTGGAGCGCTCATGGGGCACCGCCCTGAGCCACTAAAGTCCCAGCAATGAGGAGCTCCTCTCATGGGAGCGGCTGGCACAGAAAGAGACAACCACACACCAACGTTAAGGGGTGCAGTTGAGACAGCAGGAAGTGAAACCCAGCAGAAGACAATGAAATTATCTGCCCAGCCTTCTTCTCACAGGGTCATGGGAATAGTCATGGTTTCTTCATGTGTCTCAAGTTTTAATCAGCATCTACGATGCCATGTGGCCAGACCCAAGGGAACATCAGCCCAGTGTCAGAGGCAAAGCTGAACGAGGCTGGCAACATTTACATACAATGCGTCAGACCCCATTCTAAGTACTTTACAGTATTAATCCATTTAACCTCCCCAACAGCCCAATAAGGAATGTGCTGCCCCCACTTTACAGATGGGGAAACTGAGGCACAGAGTGGCCAACTCGCCCAGGATTATACAGCTAGAAAATTATAGTACTGATTCCTCAGTCTGCACTCTAAGCCACTATGCTGCTGCATGTTAAAAACTCTAGAAAAAATATCGATTGTCCTCAGGTCAGATATCCAAAGGTCTGATGTGAAGAAGTCTAGAAAATGTTAGGAGAAGAAAAATGTGATTTCCTTCATGTTTTCCTCTAAGTGTCCTTGCTAGAGGGGTTGGTGAGGCAGTCATGCTGGTTGCCACTAGCCCAGGGAAATTCTCATGTGGGTCAGGAAAAGCACCCCTTCAAGACAAATCTAGGATAAATGTGACGTTAATGGTGCCTGGCCCCTGAGTTGTATGGTGTATAACCTACGCATCTCAGGGCCCAGGCACCATTCCCACTACGTTTGACAGCCTTAAGAGCCGTGGGAGGGGAACTAAAGAGTTCCATGCTTTTAGAAAGAAGAAAATGCAGTTCAAGACAAAATACTCATATATTACTTTCTGGTTTCTGCTCCCTGAACAATTATTTTCTTAAATTACAAATTACAAATCTTTGTGTGTCAACCTCTATAGTAATCTTTGCATCTAAATCAAAGAGAAGTCATGGTCTCCACTTGGCCTGGTGGTTTAAATAACCACCTGTTCTATTATATGTTCTATTTTCCAGACAGCCTGATTCCTTTCCAAATGACCCAGATACAACCATTTTTATCAAAATTCTAAGCACAGCCCCAAGCACAGGCTAAACCGAAAGACTGTTAAATTAGTCAGAATAAGAATTTGCTGCCTCAACATCTTAGATCCAGCATGAAAATCATGGACACAAGTGGTGTTTCTGCTGCCTGGATTAGAAAACAAATAGCAAGCCTGGGAAACGTGAGAGCTGGGCAGCAAAAAATGCCCTCGCCAGCCCACCCAGATAGCGGCGCCCACGTCCTGAAACCACATGGACACAGCCTATCCTGGGGCCCCTTTCTTTGTAAACACTTCTGCCTCCCAAGGAAATGAACTAATCAAAGCACCTTAATCAAATTTAAAGGGTAGGCCGGGCACGGTGGCTCATGCCTGCAATCCCAGCACTTTGGAAGGCTGAGGCAGGTGGATCACTTCAGGTCAGGAGTTCGAGACTAGCCTTGTGAAACCCCACCTCTACTAAAAATACAAAAACTAGCCAGACGTGGTGGCGCAAGGCTGTAATCCCAGCTACTCGGAAGCCTGAGGCAAGAGAATCAGTTGAACCCGGGAGGTGGAGGTTGCGGTGAGCTGAGATTGCACCACTGCACTCCAGCCTGGGCAACAGAACAAGACGGAAGGAAGGGAGGGAGGGAGGGAGGAAGGAAGGAAGGAAGGAAGGAAGGAAGGAAGGAAGGAAGGAAGGAGAGAGAGAGAGAGAGAGAGAGAGAGAGAGAGAGAGAGAGAGAGAGAAAGAAAGAAAGAAGAAAAGAAAAGAGAAAAGAGAAAAGAAAAGAAATTAAAGGCTAGACATGTGGGTCTAAATTCAAACTGATGGATTTTGCTTTTTGAGGTTCAAGAAGAATAGGGTGATTGACTGCAGTCAGTTCCCTACTTACAATGGGCTGACTTAGGACTTTTCCACTTTATTATGGTACAATACAATACACAAACCGTACTTCACATAGCTACATAACCACTGTTTTCCACTTTCAAGACAGTATTTGGTAAATGACACAGATATTCAACACTTCATTATACAACAGGCTTTGTGTTAGATGATTCAGCCCAACTGTAGGCTGATTACATTAGCCAGCCTAATGTATATTGTTCTGAGTACATTTCAAGTAGGCTAGGCTGAGCGATGAGGTTCTGTAGGTTTGGTGTATTACATGCATTTTCAACTTATGATGCTTCCAACGACTGATGGGTTTATCAGGACATAACCCATCTTAACTCATTCTTTCATTCTAGTTTGCCTGAAATACCCCTAGTTTTAGCACTGAGAGTCCCACATCCCAAGAAACTCCTCAGTCCCAGGAACACCAGGACAGCTAATCAACCCATGACAAGGCTAAAACTGAAGGCCTGTAAAAAGACAAAGCTTATAAAATGAACCTGAGGAAGCAGTTTCAGAAGTAAACATTAAGTTCAGAAAATTTTGACAGTTTGCACCCAAATATTCCTCTGAAAATAAACTCTGCTTCTGTTGAACAATGTAAACTTTCTAAATTAAGCCTAAAACATCTTTTTAAATTACAATGTTGAAAGTTTGTTGTTGTTGTTCCCTTTTTTTTCTCCTCTGAGACAGGGTCTGTCTCACTCTGTCACCCAGGCTGAAGTGCAGTGGTGCAATCTTGGTTCACTGCAACCTCTGCCTTCCAGGCTTAAGCAATCCATCCTCCAACCTCAGCCTCCTGAGTAGCTGAGAATACAGGCCTGTGACACCTCATCCAGCTAATTTTTGTATTTTTTGTAGAGATGGCATCTCACTATGTTGCCCAGGCTGATCTCTAACTCCTTGGCTCAAGTGATCCTCCTGCCTTGGCCTCCCAAAGTGGTGGGACTATAGGCAAGAGCCATTGTGTTCGGTCAAAGTTTTATCTTGCTTTATTTGGGGGGTACTTTTGCCAATTTAAGAACATAAGGTTGAGAACTCAAAGTCTAGAACCCTGGAACCCATTCTCTTAAAACTCACTATGTATTTTAAAGGGATTAGAAAACCGGTATTAAAAATATTAAATATTTGGTATTTTTTAGTATATCTAATTTTTTTTCACTATTACAAAAGTTAATTTAACAAAATGTATAATATGAAAATGTACACGACCTAATTTTTATATCATAGTAAAATAGACCCTATGAAGAGACGAGACGACATGGATTTCTCTGCAGAACAGCCATTATTTATACTCGTTCCAAGGCTTCTAACATGATGATACTATTTCCTCATATTACCACCATTCCAATATTGTTCTGTTGCCCACCAGTCGCCATCTCTATGCATTCATCTACCACAAGATTCATAAAGGGATCAAATGCCCACAACATTCCTTGGACATGTCTGCCACCATTTAATTTCAAGGACAACTTCTTGTCCATAAACTTTTTCAACTCGGGAGGGTGAGGTTTGCTCATGGTGTCTACTCTATGGGTTCACAGACGCCTTGGAACATAATGCACGGCCTCCCTCATGCTACCGCAGTAGGCCCGGTGTCTCGTGTCTCTCTAATTCTTTATTAAAGATAATTTGGGCCGGGCATGGTGACTCATGCCTGTAATTAATCCCAGCACCTTGGGAGGCTGAGGCGGGTGGATAACCCAAGGTAAAGAGTTCGAGACCAGCCTGGCCAACATGGTGAAACCCTATCTCTACTAAAAATTAAAAAATTAGCCAGGCATGGTGGCAGATGCCCGTAATCCCAGCTACTTGGGAGGCTGAGGCAGGGGAATCATGTGAACCTGGGAGGCAGAGGTTGCCATGAGCCAAGATTGCGCCAGTGCACTCCAGTCTGGGCGACAGAGACTCAATCTCAAAAAAACTAAAATAAAATAAAAATAATAATAATTTGAAAAAAAAAAAGCTATGCAGAATACAATGTATATGCCTAAATAACGTTAATTTAGAAATTTTAAAAAGATAATTTTTAAAATGGTTTCACTTTTTTAGATTTACTCCAGGTAAGTGATTTGATTTTTTGTTCTACCTAAATAGCACCAGATGTAATTATTTCCCAGGGCTTCAAAATTCTGAAAATCCTAATTCCCTATTGAAGCACTTTTTTTTGTTTTCTAAAATAGCTAATTACTAAATTACAACAAACATAGAAGTTGAATTTGGCAAGTTTTAGTAGTGTGCTTCTAGGTCCTCCTTTGATATAAATATGTTTTCCGTATTTGCCTCATACTCAAAAGTTTTCTAAATTTAGCCCAGGAAACATACCATTATTATTATTATTATTATTATTATTACTACTACTGTTATTTTGTTAAAGGTTTTTCTGTATTTATCATGTTTTGAAAAAGAAAAATGGTCAAATTCTAGATCCTTTAAAATCCAGTCCATTATTACTCCATTTATTTTAATAATATTAATAAATATTTAAGCCTGCTAAGTTTTCCGAGTATATCAAAATTTATTATGATGATCATTTCATGAAGAAACGAACTCGTATATAATACAAGCTTACATTGCTAAGCTCAGAGGTGAATTCAGAGCTGATGGAGACTGTTAGTTCATGCGTGTTTAGAAGCCCCCACGTTGGCTCTGTCCGACCGGTAATGGGTGAGATGTCTTCCCCAGGGCTTCCAATGTTCTAAAAATTCTCGTAACTTGGTTCAGGTGCCTTTCCCTAAATACAAATTCCCTAATTATATCAAAACCTTAGAGAACATTCCTAGGAGTGGAGAAAAACCTTAAGGACAGAAAAAAACCAAGAATTCTAATTAGACAAAAAAGAAAAAAAAAGAAACACTTACTGTTTTACCCTCGAAAACACTGATGTCAGTCATGGTAAAAATAATAAGTTTTCATTTATATTTCACTGACTTAAAATTTTGTAGAAAGAGATCTGGTACAGGCCGGGCACGGTGGCTCACACCTGTAATCCCAGCACTTTGGGAGGCCGGAGCGGGTGGATGACAAGGTCAGGAGATCGAGACCATCCTGGCTAACATGGTGAAACCCCATCTCTACTTAAAAAAAAAATACAAAAAATACAAAAAATTAGCCGGGTGAGGTGGCGGGCGCCTGTAGTCCCAGCTACTCCGGAGGCTGAGGCAGGAGAATAGCGTGAACCTAGGAGGTGGAGCTTGCAGTGAGCCGAGATCAGGCCACTGCACTCTAGCCTGGGCAACAGAGCAAAATTCTGTCGAAAGAAGAAAGAAAGAAAGAAAAGAAAGAAAAGAGAGAGAGAGAGAGAAAGAGATCTCATGCAGGAGGGAAGGGTTCCTTGCTCAACAATTCTCCAGATACTCAACGAAAACAGGTGGATATCACAGAAGCTCAGTCTGATCTGGCTGGAACACCGACCACCCAATCCCCTCGGACAAGTCTCTGGCAGCCTCCTGTGAGCTCTGGTTTTCTTATGGAGTCATGGCAATAATACCAACTTGCTCAGGGATTTTTGCGAAGATTATGTATTAGGTTTCCTTCCCTCTATCTTAAAAATCACTGCTCAGGTCCTCTTCTTTTACCAAGTAACTTTTCAACAGAAACCTGAAGAAACTACTGGATAGGAGTTGGGGGTTTGCTTAGCTGAAGTTAACGAATGTAGTTCTTGGCCAGGCGCCGTGGCCCACACCTGTAATCAATCCTTTTGAGAGGCCAAGACAGGGAAATTGCTTGAAGCCAGGAGTTTAAGACCAGGCTAGGCAACATAGTGAGCTGTGGTCTCCACAAAACATTAAAAATTAGCCGGGCATGGTGGCATGCACCTATAGTCCCAGCTACTCAGGAGGCTGAGGTGGGAGGATCACTTAAGCCCAGGAGCTGGAGGCTGCATCCCAGCCTGGGTGACAGAGCAAGACAAGGAAGGAAGGAAGGAAGGAAAGAAGGAACGAAGGAAGGAAGGAAGGGAGGGAGGGAGGGGAGAGAAAGAGAAAAAGGAAAAGAAAGGAAAGAGAAAGAGAAAGAAAGAAAGAAGGAAAGAGAGAAGGAAGGAAAGAAGGAAAGGAAGGAAAGGAAGAAAGAAAGGAAAGAAGTGCAGTACTTCATTTTTCTCTTCACTCACAAAATGTACTAATTATTTGCTTGTACTTGAATATTCAAACCTATTTAAAATACATGTTTGGTCGATTAATGTCTCAAGGTTTCTGTTTGCATTGCAATTGTCTTAGACTGGAATTAACTACAGGGTAGTAACATCCATTTAATTCCACGTGGAAAATGCCACTTGCAGAGTAGGCCTGCATAAACGACTTGGATGCGGTGAGAAAATGGAGCTTACCTAATAAAAACACTTCTCAATTATCCTACCAAAAGGAAAAAAATGAGAGAGATAACACATCACCACGAGAGGCAAAACCATAAAACTTTCAGGAAACAACATAGAAGAATATCTGCATGGCTTCAAGGTTGGGGAAGATTTTTAAAACAATAACCAAAATGAGCACATCAGAAAAGAAAAAGATTGAGAGAAGTGACCTTGTTTATTAAAATTAAGAACTCCTATTCATCTGAAACCAACATATATAGCAATGAAAGAATTCGTATCCAGAATATATAAAAAACTCCTCCTAATATAAAAGATTAACAATCAAAAGAAAACAGGCAATGGATGTTGTGGTGGATCGTACAGTAACAGCCTCCAATTGATTCATGTTCCCCAGATCCAGGCCCTTGGAATATTCCATCCAAGGTTGCCTCTAGATTTGACAGCCCTGTGACTTCCTTTGGCTAATGAGACAACAACAATTACGATGCAGATGGAGGTTTAAAAAGTGCTTGCACATTGGAGTCTGCTTTCTTGTTGCTTATTGGGACCCTCAGTCCATCACATGAAGACGCCCAGGCTAGCCTTTGGGGGATAAGAGACCATGTGGAAAGGAACCCAGACCATCCTTGCTGCCCCAGTAATCCCAGCCAACACACAGAACTGTGAGCTACATAAACCGGTATTGTTTGAAGCCTGTAAGTTTTGGGTTGTCTGTTATACAGCAAATCCTGATTGATATAGGATTCTCCTTCACTGGCCATCAGAAACTAACGAAGGAAGAGCTAACGCAGCCAAAGGTGTTAAGGACACTCACACCTTTGTTTATAAAGAGAAGCTACCAAGTGTAACCAGGCAAGAGTTTCTGCACAGAAAGAGCACAGCGGGCTGGACTGACACGTGGCCACCCATGCCTGTCTAAGGTGGGAAGAAGAATGGTTTTGCACAAAAACTTCCAGGAAGTGTCCTCAGAGGAAGGGTCAGGGGCCGTGATGTGCGGGCCTCGTCTGGGAAGCTCAGCTGGTCTTGCAAGTTTACTAAGTTACTTAGGAAGTAAACTGATCTGGAGACTAATGGGAGTCCAGGGAGGAGACTACAGAGATTTGGAGAAATGGCTCAAGAAAGCTCTTGAAAGCCATCCTTGGTGTGTCACTGATTGCAGGACATTAAGGACTCACTGCAGCACAAAATCTGTGGGCATCTGTGTGGGGTGTGACTTCATTCTGCTCTCCCTTATCACATAGCTTCCTTGTCCTCTGCAAATCCAAACTCCATGTTTCATGTCTCTGGACAATATCCATACACCCATGGGATTATAGTCCCCCAAACATGGGAAAATGAAAAATTAAAATGTTTTTACAGTTGAATGTAGTTGTGATTACAGGAAATATGTCACATCATCTCAAAAAGTGAAGGTCTGACCAGAAAGAAACTAACCAGCGTCCTCCAACATGAGTCCTCCTCATGCTCTGGGAACTCTTCCTCAAGGCCGAGCTGCAGCATTGGCCTGGAGCCCTAAGTCAGAGGGATCCTGGCCTCAAGCCTATGTCAAATACACTCACGGAATGGAAGGAAGACACCCCCAGCATCGCTGTCAGATCAGAAGCACATGGATGAGCCAGGGCGTGTGACTGCAGTTCAACTCAGAGCAAGCGAGGCTCTCCAGGCTCAGGTATCATCTCTACCCCTGCATCCCCACTGCCTCCCAGTCCATCTGAGCTGAGACATCCAGCCTTAGGACGAGCCAGAGCAATTCCACCAGGCACGTTAACGCCACAGGTCAAATGAGACACTTGCAGGGAGATACAATGGCTGTGTGTGGAAGGGAAGGCTGGAGGGAACTACAGTGGTGGAACATCTACACTTTCCAGCCATCCTGTTAGGCATGCTATTCCTTGGAGTATACAATGGACTGAATGTATGTGTCATCCCAAAAGTCATATGTGAAATCCTAACCTCGAAGGTAATGCTATTAGGAGCTGAGGCCTTTGGGGAGGTGACTGGGTTGTGAGGATGGAGCCCTCATGAATGGGATTAGTGTCTTACGACAGAGGCCTCGGAGACTGCCTTGCCTCCTCTACCACAGGAGGACACAGTGAGAAGGCACTGTCTGTGAACCAGGAGGCCAGTCTCCACCAGACATCGAATCTGCCAGTGCCTTGATCTTGGACTTCCAGCCTCTAGAACTGTGGGAAATAAATTACTGCTGCTCATAAGTCACTGCGTTTATGGTATTTTGTTACAGTAGCCTGAAGAGCCTAAGACAGCCTCTGTCAACCTCACAACCACCCTGCCAAGCAGGCATCCTCCCACTTCACAAATGAAGAAACGGAAGTCAAAGAAGCTAAGTAATTTGCCCAATGTTATCACAGTCCTAGGTGTAAAACTGAAGT